CTTCCGAGCTGTGGGAAAAAATGGACTGTAATGAAGACAGGATTTACTGCTTGGTGTGTAACACATAGTGACCATAAAGTTCACACCTGTCATCAACATACACTGAAGAACAGAGACTCACAAAACCACACAGCAGTCACTCTCTCATGCTGACACTATCACAGGCGGACTTCCCTGAAGAGCGAGAGCACGTTAACACGGAAAAAACAGGAGGATCGGTCATGAGATGTGGGGGGTGGTGGTGGTCTTTTTTGTGAGTCCTTGATGATGGCTGTAATGCCAAAAACCATAAGTTAGGAATTGCCGGGAAAGATGCTGCCATAGCAACAGAGTTTATTTGAGACAGGATGTCAGACCGGACAATAGCGAGCCTCAACTTTCCCACCAAATTCTTTTCATTCACATTGTGCGTCAAACATCATCATAACAAAAGCCAGCATTACTTATTCAATCTGATTGTTTATGAATCCTTCCACTGGTTTTCATTCACTCAAAGAAACATCTTGACATCTTGAATTTTAATGGATTATAATGCACTTAAAAAAAAAAACACTACGGTTGATTCTGAAGACAATGAAGGAAAACTAGAGTGAAGGACAGCAGAAACACTCTTTGTGGTTTCATGCATTATAGCAACAGCACCAGACAGAAGGTTGTGTCTGAAGTTCTTTATTCTGCAGCTCAGCACTTTGTCATCATCGACATTATAACACACCAGGAATGAAACGGTCAATGTTTCACTTCAGCAAATTTCACAAACCAATCAATAGACATCCTGTGATTAATTCAAGCCATCCAAGACTTGTGTGTAGAAGGACCAAGAGTTGATTCTCAAGTAGTCAAATGTGCATTTATCAATTTGCATTGAATGTTCAATTCTTTTCAACCTGCTTTTCAAATTGATACACATTTCACTACGAGATCCAAATGACCTTGACATGATCACGAAGAGTAGAAATAATCAAAATCAAGATATTGGTGTTGCACCAAAGAATGCTAAGTAGTAAGGCTGTCAACATGTCTGAAAAACTAAATTCGAATTTTGTACTTAAATATTATCAATATTCGAATTATATTCGATAGGGATGCACCGAAATGAAAATTCTTGGCCGAAGCCGAACAAAATGAAACACTGGGCCGAAGGCCGAATACTGAATACCGAACACGGTTTTTAGCATCCCCCCCACACCCATGTAGGCCTATTTTGCCATTTTGTTTTCACCATTGCATAAATTAAATAGCCAAAATGTGCTTTTTACTGTTTTGTCCTGCTTTTCAAATAAAAAATCAATTACAAAACAACAATTTAAAAATATTTACTAAACACTGAACATTTTTTAACATTTTAGCAGAAATAATACCAACAAAGCACAGTTTAACTTAAAATTAATAAGTTCGTAAAATAATATTTTTGGCCATTTTTGAGACTTGAATCAGGCATGTATTTTTTACTGTACAGATAAAGGCAGCCTTGCTGAGCAGAAGAGAATTCTTTTAAAACATTAGAATACATTACAGATCCCAATTTGAACCCTGTGTGAATGTTATAATACATGTATTAATAGAGCTGTTGAGGGAAGATGTTTGTCGCACGCATCACATTGTCACATGCCTTTAAAAAAGTAACGGTTAACGAGTAACGGTTTCAGTGCAGATTTTCCTCGTGCGTTGGACTTTGAACCCTGTCGCCGCGAGCTCGTGGAGCACTGTCAGAATTCATGCAATTCGTGCGTGCATTAGAAAATATAACATTCTGCACATGGGCGACATTATGGGGGTGCAAATTGTTAGTCATGGAATCCCTGATGTCGGCCCCGCTGCAATTGGAGCGCTTAGCCAAGCGCTAAATACCCTCAACATGTTTTTGCAGCATTGAGCAATGTAACCAATCACAGATATCTGTTGATTTCTTGAACGCAATGGCCAATCAGAAACGTTTTGTCAGAATTCACTCACCACTGAAAGCGCCGCGGTTTTCAAGTGCAGTTTTGCACGCTCATGAATCATCTCATGACTAATTGCAGACACGATGTAAATAAGAGAATCATTGTGCAATTTAGAGAGCTTCATTTATTATAACGGAACTTTGTAAGATCGCGATGAACGAAGATGAGTGACGTTGCCCACTTTCTAGGGTATAATCCATTCAGAATTTGTATGAAACTTTCGTTTTTCGGACACATAGGCTACACCCTGCAAAGTTTCGGGAATGACATCCGCATATTTATGCGGGATTTACTCTCGAAATAGCAGTGATTGGCAATGGACGGAACTTACTAATCGTTTGAGGTCATTTCACGATTTCAATCATCATACAGTAGCCTAACCACCAGCATTAGCCACCTCTTCATCTCATAGGATACATGTGATGCAGCACTAAATAGTCTCTCGCTGTCGGTGCTTCGTGCTTGTAATGATTTCTGCATCTTTCTCTGATAGTTTTAAATACTTCCACACTGCCGACATGTTTGCTGCATTAGTGCGTGCCTCTATCTGATCGCGTTAATCATTGTTCGGTACATATTATTCGGCCGAAAACCGAAAGAGATTTTTTGCTATTTTCGGCCGAATAATATCAGTTGCCAAACATTCGGTGCATCCCTAATATTCGAATTTAAAAGGCATAATTTCAGTTAGGGGGGAAAAAAAGCTTTTGGCTTCTCTCCTGAGGCCACAAGAGGGCACATCGAGCAAAATATTATTTATGGACGTTTCTTCAAAGGAATAAAATAAAAAGTCTATCTTTGAAAAAAGTGCATAATGTTTAAAATAATGTTTATAAACCATATATAATTAATAAAGGTGCTTAAACAAAACAGCATCATTCATGCATGTATGTATAGTTTAATACAAAGGACCAAAAACCAATCACAAAGAGTACTTTATTCGTTTAAAAACATGAGATGCAGTGGGATGGGGAAAAACCGGCATAAAGTCTCGAGACATGTTTTTTTAAAAGTTGAACTTACATTAATTTTACATGGCTTTCTAAACATGCGTCTCTCTTGTGCGAGACGCGAGTGCAACGGTGATAGATGTCCCTCTAGAAAATGCGATAAATATGCGTTCTGTGTGAACGGCTTGGTTTCAGTTTTGACGTAAACGTCTCCTCCGCATTGATGTTCTCTTTTTCCGCAATATTTTGAATGAACAACGTAGCAGTGCCTCATCTAGTGGCTTCAACTGGATAAGCTATGAAAAACATTACAATGCAATGACATTTACATTGTTATCGCATTTCGTGCGCCACTGATAAGGCTGCTGCCTGATGTACACCTAAAATTCGAATGAAACGTTTTTGCATTCGAATGTGGATTTTAATTTCGACGAATATTCGAAATTCAAATTTTTGTTGACAGCCCTACTAAGAAGACATAATTGGCCAAAAGCTAAGAAAAAAAAACACATTTAAAGGGATAGTTCACCCAAAAATTTAAATTATCCCATGATTTACTCACCCTTAAGCCATCCTTGGTGTATAAGATTTTCTTCTTTCAGGCGAATACAATCAGAGTTATATTAAAAAAATGGCCTGGCTCTTACAAGCATTATAATGGCAGTGAATGGTAGTCAAGATTTTTAAGTCCAATAAAGTGCATCCATCCATCAAAGTGCTCCACATGGCTCCGTGGAGTTAATAAAGGCCTTCTGAAGCCAAACTTCAGAAACCGCAATCTCTAGCTTCCGCTAACTGTAGTACATGCATATCGAAATCCTGTCATTTTTCTTTACAAAACCTCGTTTTGTACTTCTAATTCATGACTGGTGTTTTGTTTTCCACAGTGTTTGCTGATTTTCATTTTTGTATACCTATTTAAACTGTGTAGCCCAAGTAATTTGTTATTTTATATTAGGCATATAGCATGGTGTATTTTTATTTGTTTTGTTAATAAAAGTTCTATGAGTTTGACGTTGTATTTTGTTGTTGCTTAAATTGAATCAACGCCAAATTGCGGCTAATTTGAAAATGAAAGTAAAATGTGCATGGCGCTTTTACAAGCTATTTAAAAGCAAAGGAAAGTGAGGAAAAGAAGGAAATCTCAAACGAAATCACGGTTTATCTGTGGTTCCAGAGCAACAGTCTGAAGAGAATCCCGGCAAGCAATTTGGTTCAAGTTCAGCTGCCTGAATAAGAAACTGAATGTCTCATGGATATCTAGTTCACTTCCTACTCAAACTCTGATGCCATTAATCTGGCAAACTCTGGCAATTCCAGTGATTAGTTCTTCATCAAAAGCACTAATCTCATCAACCTTCTTACCACTTACTAACTTCTTTACCAGATGGACTGATAAACAAAATCTGGGCACTGATAATACCTTAAAAGGGTAGTTCATGTAAAAATGAAAAATTCAGTCATCATTTATTCATAATCATGTCATTCCAAACCTGTATAAATTCCTTGCTTGTGCGAAACATAAAAGAAGATATTTTGAGAAATGTCTCATTGTCTATTGTAACCAAAACTGTTTGGCTACCAGCATTTCTCAAAATATCTTCTTCTCCTGAAGCCAATGAGTGCAAAATGTTGAAACTGCCGCCAAAGTAACACACTAAAAACAGGACAGTATTGGCTAAGCATTTCAGTACTGCCATAAAAGTAGTTTCTGGCCTGATGAACTTTGATATTCATACAGTGGACATTTTCATGTGGATAATCCTTACATTAACCCTTGCCACTGAGGAGTTTTGGGGCTACAGGTAGAAATAACCCCACGCCTGCAGCTAGAGGAATCAGAGCTGTTAACACAGCCATATCGAACCCCAGAGAGAGCTCCAAATGAACTACAGAGATTAGTACAGAAATGACTTCCCTTCCAGAAATTAAACCCTGCAGCCCTTCAGATAATACACACCTTCCTTTACACTCTAACAGACAGAATGACATTTTTCCAGCTGGGGATCATTTGATAAAAGCATCTCTCTGGAGACTCTGACTACAGTTGTCATCTTCTGCCTGAACGATCCGCTGATATGAGGAAGAATGCATTCAGACTCACCTGCAGACGAGGGTGGCAATGATGACACACCAGGCGGTGCAGCAGCAGTCTGCGTTTGTCTGCTCATCGCTCTTCTTACGGCGGCAGCACAGCCAGCAGGAGTAGATGAGGAGGAAGAGGAGGTCCAAGGCCAAGCATGCCAGAGCTACACTGCCCAGCAGCAGGATAGACTGCGCAAGAGATGAGAAGAAAACATGAGCCACCCAAATAATCAGTTATTTAAGTGACATTATCATTATGGCTTTCTCTGGTTCTGAATATTAAGAGATACCCGCAACTCCAGTTTAAATGAGAATCAAGACATTTTTCGGTTATAACTTCTGGAGAGAAATAGCCTAGACACTGGACAAAGCTGAAACTTTCTAGAGCTCATGTCGAGAACCTGTGTTTGCGCATGCTAACAAATACAGTATACTTTGAAAGGCTTTAGGCTTTAGCCTCTAAAAAAAATCACTAAAAAAAATATTTTGGAAAAAAGATTTTACAAAATGTTTTAGGGCTACCAAAGTTAACATGTTAACTTAGATATTTATTAAATGGCTACCAGAATTTGAACATTTACATTGTTTCATTTTGATGTTTCATTTTGAGACTGCAATTCTATTCTATTGACAACACTAACTTCCAAATTATAACCAAATATTGGATTCAATCTTTTTTATCAACTTGTATTCTTTCAGTTAGCAAGGAGTTTGTATTTCTTTTTGATCTGAACTTATGTATTGAATGAAAATGGCCAAAATAATCCACAAATAATGTTTTTTTTTTATTATTTGTTTATTTACCCAAAAACGGAAGTGCACAAATTCAGATCAATGAGGCCTACTATCTATTAGTCCCAAAAGAAATACAAAACCTGTGCTAATTGAAAGCAAGCAAGTTGATAAAAAAGACTGAATCCACGATTTGGTGATAATAGCATAGAGAGATTTGCAAGCAATTTTAAAAAGGCCTGTCATTTTTGAACGCCAAATTAGGTCAAGGATTTTAAGCACAGCACAAGGGTTAAACTGAAAAAAATAATTCTACATATAATTTTGCTATAAATAAATAAATATGTTCTACCTTGATATTACCCGTAATAAAAGAAAAAACAACAACATGCTGCTACATATAAATGACCTAATTTACTGCTCATTTCAGTTACATTTTCCTGACAATGACTCTTTTTAATTCAAAATATGACTAAGACAAATCAAAGGCACCTCATAACACTTCCCCTTTTATTAAAATTGAAAATGGTGCGTGGGTCGCTCTAAACAGAGTCTCCCGCTGCAACTCACGTGACAAGTAACCTGCAGGGGAAGTTTTATGTAGAATGAGGTCAGAGCTATTCTCAGTTAAGACACACACTTCACTCTGGCAATCTTGTTGTGACAACCACACAGGGATTAAGCACTTTAAGATCGTCTGCACTCACATTCCTCAAAAACCGACCCAATTCTGGTCCCACCAGATTAGTGGGGGAATCGGTCAAATGGAGACACCCATGATGGGTTTGGCCTGGTATCCAATCAGTTAATCTGCATGGACTCACTGAACCCCTCTTCACATGTAAGCATTTCAAATCTCCCAAATCACATAGTTTCCATACGGCTTTCAACCTGTGCCAAGCTGTCCGTCAAGCTCACAGTGTGTGATCACAGGAGAGCTAGGAAAACCATTGTGCTGGTTCAAAAGGGCCCAGCGAGTCAGACTGGAAAAGCGAGCAGGTCTTAAAAGCACAGACTGTAATGCTAAAAGGGCATCATTGCTCAGCGCATTTACTTTAAAACACAAAGCCTGATTGTTTGCCTCAAGATAATTCTTTGGGCTTATTAGGCTCAGAAGATTCCAGCGAATGTTCAGGTGAGAGGTTTATCAGACCACCTGGAAACAAAGTTGTGTTTTCACTAATAACACCACTTGTGATCTATTGACACTGTCTAAAGAAGAACTAGAAGTTGTGGACTGACAATTGTGACAGTGCGTTTAAAAGTTTGTTTGACGCAACTGTTAACAAATAAACAAGATATCAATCAATATAGCTGTATATTAAAATGTGTTTCATGTTTGTGAAGTAGTCGATTTCTGAAGGATCATGTGACTCTGAAGATTGAAGGAATGGCTGCTAAAAATTCAGCTTTGCCATCACAGGAACAAATGATATTTAACATATATTCAGATAGAAAACTTATATTAAATTGTATTTCACAATATTACTGTTTTTGCTGTATTTTAATCACAGTCAGGATATGGTAACAAAAGTTTGCCTCATCATTTGCTAAATTATACCAATTTTATCATTACATCAATTATAACAATTCACCAGGTGAAATCTAGGTTAGGGTAATAGGCTATAGGGTAATAACAGGGTAATCATGCAATAGAACAACAAGTATGCTTCACAGCTCTTGTTTACTAGACATAGGTCATGGTAATTAGATCACCAGTTAACACACCCTTCTGAGCAGTCAGTCTGCCCTCAGAAAAATACCGTGATATAAATTTTTGGTCATACCGCCCAGCACTACCTCAAAACCAGGGATTGTTCATGATAGTCGACCAGCTGATGGATCTTTGGCCATTGCATAGCAAGATGAAAATATCAAGACCCCTGTGTTTTGCACATCCCTACTAGAAACTAGAAACTAGAAACTACCATGCGTGTGATCCGCGTGATAACGGATGGGTCAGCGCCGGCACCGCCACACGCTCGCGTCATGATACTGTCGTGAACGCACCTCCACAAGTGACGCAGTAGAGATGAAAATGTGGAATAAAGTCGTTATTTTTGTTTTCTTTGTGCAAATATGTATTCTGGTAGCTTCGTAAGGTGAGTAATTAATGACATAATTTTCATTTTTGGGTGAACTATAACCCTTTAACACTTACCAAGGTCACTGAAATAACTGTTCAATGAATCATCACCTTAAATTAATCAGTCATCATAACTAGGCGAATCACTGTCATCACTTTTGGTCAAGTCCAACTCAAACCCAAAACCGTTCAATACAACAATGGGAAATGTGAGGCAGGATCTCATCTGAGACAAATGAGGCGTGAATGATGATGATGATGGCTGATATGACGTCTCAGGATGAGGAAATTTGTTACTTGGTGCCAGCACCATCTGGGAGAATGGCCAGTAAGCACTCTTGATATGATTAATCAGTGCTTAAATACCCTCATTTACAAAGAATGGCAGATCTTGCCAAAACTGCATAGCTGACAACCTCTGATAATGTGTTTGGAGTGATTAACAGCCTTTGCGTCCATGAGATCATCTCCGCGTACTGGCAGAAAGCTGTGCTTTTATATAAATATAATAAACATATATATATAATATATATATAAACAAAACGCAACTGAATAATCAGCCCTAGTAGAAAATGGCAGAAGAAACGAGAGGATTGCATGTCTACTAAATCCATCTACTTAATTGGTTTCAAACAAGAAAAACAAGTTACAAATAAGAAGAAACATCGTATTAGCCAGCGTGGGGGCATTACTGCCAAAAACAGCTTTAAACGTTGTATTTACTTCCTGTAGCTCAGAGTGCTTGCATCACCAAGGTCATAGTTTCGACTCTTAGGGAATGCATGAATTGACAAAATGTGTACTTTGAATACAATGCAAGTCGCTTTGGATAAAAACACCTGATAATGTGTTAAAATAAATGTAAATCTAACACAATCTATTCTACACGTTTTCAACAGACTTCCCACCAGTTAAAGATATGAAACACAGCTGGCATTTGCCAACTCAGAGTGCTTGTGTTTTCCTGTGAGAACTTGTGCCAAGGAGGTCACCGCAATTACCGAGATTTCAATATTGCCACGTTTCTCCTTTTGCTGCTAACAGGAAAAGACCCAGACTCAGCTTTTCTAAACAGACGGTAATCTTCTGCAGATTATCTTAATGGATCTACTCTTTCCATATGCTGATTCAGGACACGGCGTAGCGAGAGACCCCTTTGAGCGATAGCACTGCCCAAGAACAACAGCAGCATTTCAAACAAGGTCACTGTGCTGAAGGCTGTAGGCCATCCGAATGATATTTGCAAAATATGCACCACCCTTTATCCTGTCACGTTTCAGAGAAAGGAAGTTTTCGCCAAACATGGAATCTCACTGTGCTCTACTAAGTGAGGACAAATAAGCTATGTCATATTAAGGGACTGATTTTTATCTAAAAATCTACAAAAACAATCAATCGTTGAGATGTAATTCAGCTTTATCAAGTGACTGAATCGTTTGTCGGCCTAATTTTAATTTCAAAGCCATCTATGAAAGGGCTTCATTCTCCGATAGGAGACTGGAAAATTATAATAATAAAAACTCCGATAAACCGTATATTGCCGTAGTCGTGTGTTTATTAGTCACGTTGAATCAATGAAAGCAGTTGAATCTTCCGTTTATTCAGCTGCAGCCATAGGCATTTTCTGGGTTTCTTCTGCAAGGCGTTTTTGGAGTTTCAGCGCGAGAGCGCCCCTCTGGCCTTTGGATGGAGATTTACTGCTGATCACAGAACCGTGCTTCACTGAAAGATATGCATGGCAATCGCAGCTTCTGTCGAATCGCGATCTTGATTCCATTTCGATTTATCGTGCAGCCCTAACTGTGGCTGTGGTTCTTTGAATGAATGTGGCACAGCAGTCAAACACACAAGTGGTTTAGCACAAGACCATCTAAAACAACCTACGATAGGAGTCTAGAATAGATCAGCCTGAAGCTTTTGAGCGAATGTTGCTGCTTCAGGAAACGACACAGGAAAATGTCACACATGCTAGTGCTGGGCGGTATGACCAAAAATTTATGGTATTAATGGTATGGTACTAACGGTATTTTTCTAAATTATACCGGTTTCACGGTACATGACAGTATTTTTTTTTCATGCATGACCGGGTGTTAACCATATTTTCTACTGATTGAGAGAGGAAATACTGCAGTATATTGACTTAGAATGCCCTATTCT